ATCCACATTAATCCCTGGAATTTTTGGAGGCAGAGCAGCTTTCATCTGATGACCTCTGTCTCTCCCACTGTATTAGCCATAGAATTTCCAGCTCCTGGGCACTTTTCCCATGTTTTTTCCCCACCCTTCCCAGCAGCAGGACGGATGTGCTTGGTGTGGGAATGATGGGATCAAAGCATCTCCCCGGGCAAAGACGGATCATTCTGTGAGGGATTTGAGGGATCATGGAAAACTGCAGGAGAATCAGGGCTGGGATTGTTCCCGAGACATGTCAGGATGCCCAGAGCAGCAGGAACAGCAGGAATGCACTCCTGTCCCGAAGGAAGGCCAGGGGAGGTGTTAATTCCCTCCCCAAACAGGTTTGTTATGGTGCAAGGTGTCCCGAAGCCCTTCCAGGCATCCACAGGAACCCGCACAAATCCCCCTTTGTGCTTTCCCAAAACATTCCCCCGGCTCGTGAGGAGCCCCTGCCCCTGGGAATGTGTTCTTGGAGCCCTGTCTGCATTTCCAGGACGTTTTCCCAGAGCCACAAATCCCTCYGGGAGCACAGCTGGGATTTGTCGGGATCAGAGGCAGCGGTGCCGCGGAGGAGAATCCACACTGAGCTGCATTCATCCCGCTCAAGGCCTGGGAATGGGCACATTTTGGGGAAGGGAAGGGCTGCTCTGCTCCTTCCAGGGGCTGCTGATAAACCCTAGCAGCTCATTCCCGGCGCCGAGCCAGCACACAGCTGGCACCTCTGGATGTGGGGCAGGAAAAGTTTGGGACTGGGTGGGGAAAAGGGCAGCTCCATTTGGCAGGAGCTGGGAAAGCTGGAGGGACTGGGAAAGGGCAGGAATTACATCCMAGACAGGGATGGGACATGGGGAGAAGCCACTCAGGGGATTCTGGTGGCCAGGAAGGTTTGGCTGGTGAAGTCAGAGGAGCAGAATATTCTGAATATTCCTGGGTCAGAATCAGCATATTCCTGGGTCAGAATTGGAATATTCCTGGGTCAGAATTGAGATATTCCTGGATCAGAACTGGAATATTCCTGGGTCAGAATTGAGATATTCCTTGGTCATAATTGGATTATTCCCAAGTGAGAATCAGAACATTCCTGGATCATAATTGGGATATTCTTGGGACAAAATCAGGATATTCCTAGGTCAGAATTGGAATATTCCTGTGTCAAAATCAGGATATTCCTTGGTCATAATTGGATTATTCCCAGATGAGAATCAGAACATTCCTGGATCATAACTGGGATATTCTTGGGACAAAATCAGGATATTCCTAGGTCAGATTCAGAATAATCCTGGGTCAGGACTGGAACATTCCTAGGTCAGACATGGAATATTCCTGGGGCAGAATTGGGATATTCCTGGGTCAGCCTTTGTGTGCACAGAATCCTGTTGGATCCGTGGTACTGATGAAGGAATTGTGATGTGAGGTGAGATCAGAAGGAAAAACCCAAATCAAACCCAAACCCCAGATCGAGTTCAGGACTCCCTGCCCCATCTCTGGCTGGGTTCAGTCTCAAACCAACTCCTGTAAATCAGTTTTTAGCCATGTTTTTTTTTACTGGGAGTTTTTTGCTCCCATGCCTTGTGTCCTTGCTGGATTCTGGGAATGCTGGGCRAATTCCCAGCCCGAGGTGTGGGACCAATAAAAGCTGTGAGAATTCACAGAGAGGCCAGGAGCTGATTTCCAACCCAAACCTYGCTGCTCCGAGCCTGGCCCCGTCACCAAGCTTCTCACCTCACCTCCTCCCAAAGCAGAATTTTGGGGTGAAAATGAGAGGGTTTGGTGAAAAGCCTGAGTGGGATGGAAATGAAACCCTTTGCTACCCTCTCCAGTGAATTTTCCTGTTTTTCCCAGCATGGGAGTGCTGCATTCCCATGGGATGCCACGGGACAAGGGGATGACAGAGGAAATGTGGGAAAACTCCCAAAACAGGGAGAATTCTTGTGCAGGGTGCTCTGAATGTGGCCACAGCCTCTCCCAAGCGTGGGACCCCAAATGCAGCTGGTTGGGAACCCCAAAATCCCATGGGTACCAGGCCTGGATGTGGAACTGGAGCTGCCCTGGGAAAGGGGCCATGGAAAGAGGAGAAAATTAGTTTTCTTTGCTGGATTTTTCATCTTTTAACACTTGAATGCCTCCAGTGAGATACAGATGGAGCAAAAAAAATGCTGGAAAGGACCAGGAGGAAATAAACTCCATGTCCCTCCAAAATTCCTAAATTCCAGATTCCTGCCAAAGGAAGGAGGCAGCAGCCTGGAAATTGGGGATGGAGGAGTTCCTGGGAGATATGTCCACAGGTCCTGAACTTTTCCATGAGGAAATGTGAAAAGCTTTACGGTGTCATCAGAAAATGGAAAAARGGAAAAGCTGGGCACAGTTAATTGGACCAGAGGAAAGGAGGTGACAAGTGCTGGGATCACTGCTCAGGATCTGGGGATAGGGGACAGGAAAACTTCCTGGAGACCTTCCCAAAGCTGCCCCTGCACTCCTGGCACAGGGAGAACAAACTGCAAACACCCCCTGGCTTCCCTGGAAACCTGAGGMAACCCAGGCCAGGGAAAAATGGGAACAAAAATCACATTTTTCCCATTGCCTCGCAGTCTACCATGAATTGCCAGATGTGTTTCCTCAGGATAAATACTTCCTTGGCATTGCCCAGTGGACACAAAGGTCCAAGTCCAGACATTTGAACCCCAAATTCCCTCGTTCTCCACTTCCAATCCCAAATATTTGAATCCTGATTTCCCTCCTTCTCCCCCTCCAATCCCAAACATTTGAACCCTGAATTCCCTCCTTCTCCCCCTCCAATTCCAGACATTTAAACCCTGATTTTGCCCTTCTCCACACTCAATCCCACAAATTTGAGCCCTGAATTCCCGTTTTCTCTGCTTCCCCAAGCCCTGGTGTAACTCGGAATGAAAGGGAAGCGTGTCAGGCACAACTGGGGCTGGTAAATCATCCTCTGGCACTTCGCTCCCAAAATCCCGAGCCTTGGAAGCGGCTTGGATTCTGTTCTGGAAAACTCAGAGCAGAGCCTGTGCCTCGCCGGCTCCCTGGTGCCCGAAATTCCTGAAATCCCAGGGCGGATCACGCGTTAACAGTGCCGTTCACAGAGAGGGATTTGCCGGGCTGAAGCCTTTCCCGAACAAAAGCGGCGGCGCCATCAGCATTTCCCGGGGAAATCCTAATTGACTCTCTCTCCAGAGCTAAAATTCCACAGTGGCGCCTGTGGAATAAAAATCAGTATTTTCTGCTTGCTCCAATGAATATCGGGGAGTTGTGGAAGGAATTAATCCTGGATTGGAGCAGCCGGGAAAGKGAGAGTGCAGGGAGGGGATAAATCCCGATTTTAGCAGGGAGGGTCCCCGGGAGCCGCCAGCGGGGCGAGGTTGGGACGGACCCCGAGGTTTGAGGTCTCCCAGGTGATGCTTTGGGTGGTCCCGATGTTCCTGCGGAGATCCCAGCGGGGTCCGACCTGGGAATATCTTCCTGGCCCAGGTGGGAAATGAATGCAAATTGCGGGAGATAAGAGGGGATTTGGGGAGTGTGCTCAGAGCACTGCGCCCGAGATAAGGTCACGGCGCTGCCAGATCAGCCCGGAACACAAAATTCCCAACATTTTCCTCTCCAGAATACAGCAGGTTCCAAACTGGTGTCCTGCCTACCCGTTCTTCCTGGTTTTTATTCCAACAGATCCAGTAATTTTCCTGGGATTGTGAAGGAGAAGCAGTGTTCCACTGGCTTGTGTTTCCCACAGCAGCTGTGACACTCCAGAATGGAACAGTGAGCTTGGGTTTTGGATTTTCCTCAATTCCATTCTTTCAGTCAAACACTTGCTCTAAAAATAATGAAATCCCCCTCTTCTTCCCCAAAAAGCAGCTGGATTTCAGCACCTCCTCTGCCCAGCTCCCCCCACAAGGAGCTGCCTGCAAACAGGAACTCCCCAACCATGAGATCCCAGCTCTGCACATTCCAAAGGTACAGATCCCATTCCCAGCTGGGCTGCCACAAATCCCAAAGCTTTTCCAGGCTACACAACAAGGGGAGATGGGTGGAGGAGAAAAGGCAGCATTTTATGGGTAAAAAGTGATCCCAAATATCCTATGGGATATTTGCTCCTATGGGACAGCTCCAGCCAGTGCTCCCAGGGGAGGGAATACTATTTAGGATTTATCCTATTTAGGGTTTCTCCCTAAAGCCTTTCATGATGCCTTGGATCTTTCCTGGGGCTGCAGTTAAATAGAACGCTGATAAAAAGGTAGGATTGGGGTAGAAATAACTGAGAAAATTAAGAAAATTGAGGTTTCAAAATAAGAATTGGACCTTTTCCCACTGAGATCCAACCTGCAGCACTCCCTCCATCCCTGGGAAAGAGAAAGCTCTGTCCTCCTGGGAAATATTCCCAACAGTGTGTGCCTTTCCCAGAGCAGAGGGGACTGCCAGACCTCACTGGATCTGTTAAAGAGTTCATGAGGACAGGTGAACCCCATTCTCTGCTGCTGTAATTAATGAATTCATTAATTCCACCCCTAACAAAGCTGGGTTTGACCTTTTGGAGTGGCAGAAATTCCCCACGCGATGAAATCTCATCTGGTTCACCCCAGGGCAGCTCCAGCACCAGCTCCCAGGAGAATTCCAAGGAATTGGTGCCAATTCCAAGGAACTGAGGATTCCTTGGCTGGTCAGGAATGCGGCTCCAAGGAAGGAACTCAGAATCTTTGCTGCCAAACCAGCGGGGCATTGGCAAGGAACGATTCCAGGTGAAATCCCTGGCCYCTGCTTTTGTCCCTGAGGATTTCTGTCAGACAAAGCCCCATCCTGCTCCTGCTGCCCCTCCTGCCACCCCCTGTGCCGGACACCCGGCAGCGTTTGGGGCTGGGATTTCCCAGCTGGGACACGTGGATGAGTTCCAAAAGCCACCCCAATTTCCCTTTCTCGATGCCTGCGCCACGCCAAGGCCCCATGTGACTGTGTAGCTGCCTTCCCCCATCGGCAGGGCAGGAAGGAAGCGGAGCCGCTCTCGAGTTGCATTCTGTGGGGTGGTTGCAAACCCGACCCCGTTAACCCCAGAGCGCTCAGAGGGACCCGAAAATGGCCCCGCAAACCCCCCCTGAGCCCCCCAGGTGCTGCTGCTTCAATGTCAAGACGACGACGGTGGCCCTGGGGATCTTCCACATGGTGAGTTCTGGGCCGGGGAGGGGGCACAGTGAGAGGAGATGGAAAAACAGAGCTGGAACCTCTCCAGGAGGTGCTGGTGTTGTGGATCACGGGGGTCCCTGATGCCTGAATGTTCCCTGTTCCCGGAAGGAAAACCCGAGGATGAAGAGGGATGGACAAAAGAAGGTTGTGGGGGACAGGGAGAAGCAGAATTCACTGCATGGGAGGGGTTTTCAGCATTTTTTTTCCTGGTTCTGCCGATTGGAGCTCAAGCTCGCTCTGCTTCCTGGTTTTCTGCTCGTTGCAGGAGCTCTTCCCTGAGCCTGGAGCTGCTGGGTGGGAATGGGCAGCTCTGACAACATGGGAATGGCTCCCTGGAGGGATTTGGGATGAACAGAGGGGCAGGACAGAGCTCTCCTCTGTCTCTCCCGGTTCCCATTGGGATTGTGGCTGTGTCCAGATCCCAGGCAGGTGGAGAAGCTGCCCAGGGCAGGGATGGCAGAGCCTCGGGGCTCCTCTCCCTCACACTCTTGAGGGGCTTTTGGTGCTGTCAGGCACCCTCAGGATGTGGTTTCCTGCACGGCTGCATTGTTAAAATAACCTCTGCGCTGTTCTGGGTGTGCACAGGGAGGGTTTGGGGTGTGCAGGGTGATAACAGGACTGTCACCCATTCCTTGGACAGGAGGGGCCATTGGGGTTCCTGCAGCCTGCAGAAATCCCATGGGAATGGTGGTTATGGCATGGGAAGGACATTCCCTGATCCCCCCACAGCTCTGGGTGTGCACAGGGAGGGTCTGGGGCCTGCAGGGTGATAATGGGGCTCTCACTCCTCCTTGCACAGGAGAGGGGCATGGGAAGGAGATATCCCTGCAGAAATCCCATGGGGTGGGAAGGATCCCAAGTTTCAAACCTGCCCTTCTCTTGTGGTGACATGGCAAAGGGAACTGGGCCCTGTCTGAGGGTCTGGTTTGTGGGAAAGGAGAACTCTCTGGGTTCTGCTGGAGCTGAGGGGTGGATCCGTGGTGGGAGCAGCTGAGCCAGGAGGGCAGGGCAGGCACCACTTCCCTCCTCCTCCTCCTCTTCCTCCTTCTCCTCCTCCTCCTTTCCCAAGAGACCCCTCCCCAGGGATCCATCCCCTCGGATCCACAGGTCCCACACCCCAAGGGCAGTGGCTGGAGCTGTGTCCTGGACTGGCCAGGCTCTCCCTGCCCGGGGCACGGCCTGGAGATCGCTGCCTGCTCATTTGGGTGTTGGGTTCTTCCTTCTGCACAAAATGGAAAAGTTTTTAACCAATTTTGCCTTAAAAGTCCCCAGAATTGCTCAGGCCAGGCCTGGTTTTCCTGCCCCATTCTTATCGAGTGTGGCTGCAGCCGGCGGGGGCTGTGGGGCTCATTTCGGCACCAGCCAGGAGCCAGGGTCTCATTGAGCTCTGACAGCCCCACAGAGAGCTCTTCCCGCTGAAATCCAGCCCCTGSCTCTGCTCTGTGGGGTGCCAGCATCTGGGATTCACTGTCCTGCTCCCGCCTGCTCGGCTTTCAGAACAAACCCGATATTTAGGGCTCAGGTCATGTGTCTGGCTCAGGCTTCCTTGGAAGTGAACCCTGAAAAAGCCATTTCTGACYGTCTCCCATGCTGGCAATGGAGGGGYTGGAGCAGCAGCAGCAACAGGGGAAGGAAATCCACTTTGGGAGTTTGAAATGGAACCTCTGAGGCACCTCGCAGTCGGGTGGGATCTCCATGYGTCCATTCTGGGATCCCTCCCACCCCAGGGGACACCAGCAGCTCTAAGGACACCTTGGACTGAGACCATTTCACTGCTGAGCTAAGCCTGGGCACAGCTGAGGGAACTTTTTCACCAGAGCTGCCCCAACGTTTCCCTTCCGCCTCCGCTTGAGCAGCTCTGCGGGCCGGGAGGAAGCGGAACCCTGCGGTCTGGGCTCGTGTTTGCACCCTGGGGCTGCTGGGGATGGCACAGAACACTCTGCTGCTGCGGGGCTGGGCTGG